TGCAAATGAGACAATAATTAAAATGTTTAAAGATGCAGCAGAAAAGGCAGTGAAAGTCCTAACAATTATTTGTCAAAAATATGGAAGACTACGTGGCCTAAAGATTAGAAAAGATTAATGTTTTTATCTATACTGAAAAAGAAATGTGCAAATAGCTTTACCATTGCACACATTCCTCACGCAAACAAAGTTTTGTTTATGAGCTGACAAAGAAGAATAGAGCCATACATAGAGAAATACCAGATGAACAGTTGGATTTCAAAAAATGCATAAGGACATGAGATCAGATAGCTGACATCAGATGAAGAATAGAGCGCGCAACAGAATATGAGGAGGTTTATCTTTCTTTTACTGACTACAGCAAGGCCTTTAATTGTGTAAATCATTCCAGAATGTGGAATATATTTAAGGCTAATGCATATATCAGAACATCTGATTCTTCTTTGGCAGAACCTTTAAGTGAACAAGCTAATGTAAGAACTGAGTGCTTCAGAATAGAGAAAGGAATGAGACAACAAACCATATTGTCCAGATATCTGGTTATCTTATAATAATTCAATTTCCTTCCCTATTTTCACCTCCTGTAATTTCCCTGTGACAATTTGGCATCAATATAAGCTTTATGAAAGCCTAATTGTTCTGCTTATCCTATTCCTTCCCCAGACATGACCTTCTAAACATTGATTTTCCTCAAATGCAGCCATAGACTTTTAGAAACATCTCTATCACTAATAGAAACCTAACTTTTCTGCTCAGGACGGCCAGTGTTGAGGATGAATGTCCACATGTTGGATGGGGAACACCTCTGGTCCTGAGCTAGATGTTTCTCCCCCTTGCTTTATGACCCTTCGGGGATGATGTATATAAGGTCCAAGATATTTTAGACTTGATATGCTTAAAATTTGGGGAATTAGTGAAGGTATTTGAAAAAGAAAAGCATTAAAAATATACAAATGAATGTCAAATTCTCATGGTTAGGAATTTCATTTCAGTATTTTACTTCATAATATGTTTCTTTTCTATGCGCACCTTTAACTTTATGGCTATTATGTATGTCTATATAATTGATAATTAGACATCTCAGACTTTTTTTAACAGTAATAGTGAGAAAATGTAAATATCTTGAAAGATTGCTCCCTCAGCCCTCTGGCAACTTCAGTCTCATTAAAATTGTTGACATTTTACTTCTACAAATGACACTGGATACAGTTTCCATGGAAACTAAAGATTCAGCCAAAAGCATTCTCAAAACAGGCAAATATGAATATCTGTTTTCTTACTACTGATCAAACACTGAATGTCACCCACATTTACTAGAAAGCCTTAGAGCAGTGTTTCTCAACCTTGGCAACTTTAAGACATGTGGATTTCAACTCCCAGAATTCCCCAGCCAGAACTCCCACATCCTAGACACTAATTTGTAAACTGCAAACATAGAAAACGCTGAAATGGTACAGTACAGCAGCAGGCAGAATCTACAGCAGTTATGTCTGTTAAGAAAGAAAAAAAAACTCTTATGTGGGAACCTTAAATAATAAAAAAAGGACTAAGCTATTCATCTCTAAATATGTAACTAGATATACTGTATATGTTAGCAAAAGCGTCTTTCAAATCAAACATGATTCCTGGTGGCTACAAGGAAATAGCCAATGAACTTTTCTTGGCAACACTATGGTCATGGTTTACCATTGCATTTTTCCAGGATGTTTTTTCAACTTTACGGTCTAGCCTATAACACCCTGGTGGTCTCACCTCTAAGTACTCTCTGACCCTGCTTGCTTTCCAAGCCCAGACAGAGTTGGCCAACAGCTGCTACCTGCTGAATAAGAATAAATTGTATGTAAATGTACAACTTCTGTTGAAGATGAATTTTCTCTCCCCCACCCAGAAATACGTAAATGGACATACAAGTAAAACAGAAACAGACAAAAGAAGAGTAATACATGTATTTGTGAAAGATGTTGGTGATGCTCACAATCCATTACTTCTTAAAGCTTCACATCTAACAGAACGTAAAACTTGCTAACTGGGGAATTCTGGGAGCTGAAGTCCACACATCTTAAAGTTCCCAAGGTTGAGAAACACTGACCTAGGATTACTCATAACACTAGAACTAATTTTCATACAGAATGAAGCAGTAAATCAACTCCTAAGAAGAAGAAAGGAAAGCTCATTAAACGCTTTATTTCTGTAATTAAGATAGTAATACTTAATTCTATTTATAATCATTACAATGAGCAATGGTTATAATTTCACCATCAGACTCTATCTTGCTCATATGTGGAAAAGAAATGTGAGGACATCAGACATTCTTCATTCCAGCTTCCAGTAGGTGATATGAAATATTGTATCACCATAAAAATCCCCATTCCATTTGCAGGAGAAAGAGAATTAGATGCAAGATTTCCTGAAATAATTATGTTTCTGATGCAAGTATTGATGTCATAATGAGTTCAGAAATATACTTTTATGTTATCACTCCACAATAAGTAATGACATCTAATCATGTAGATGGGAAAAAACAAGCTTGGATGTCCAAAGGTAAGAAATTAAGATATTTTGTGCCCACCACGGCACATCTTTATTATATTTTGCATGCTATTTCCATACTTTCTTTTACTTTTTGATGCAAAGTATTTGTTTTCTGTCTTAAAACAGCATATTTATAACTGTACTGAAATGTTTATATGTTTATATGAAGCAAAATCATAGATACCAAATAACTTGAAGTACTCATACTTCAAGGCATTGAAAATAAATACTTTGAAAAGGCGTTAAAATACTTTATTTGAAGTGCAAGCCATATATTCATTTTAAAAATAGCAAAGTAGGTTAGATCTAACCTAAGGAAGTTGCATTTAGGTTCCATTAAAATGAGATTGAAAAGTGAGTGAAAGATTAAAGTGAGATTGAAGTTAGTCATTAAATTATTTCCTATTGATTTCAATAGAACCAAAGTGCACATATTTAAATTGAACAGTGCCATATAAGTTGGAGAAAATATTACATTACAGCTTTCTGCTATATAAGAATCATAGATCTAGAATACTGTATAAATAACTCAAGCATGATATTAAAAGAAATTCAGTAAGTAAACAGCTGTTCCTTTCCAACAATTAAATGTTATAAAGTTCTCTTGATAACAGAATACTGATGTTGTCTTTTACTGTATGTATTGCATGGTATGGCACGTTTTGTACACTGCTCTGCACTGTACTTTACTTTGATATATACTGACTGTGATTTTAACTTAAACAAGTAATTATGCTCATGTGATTGCACCGTACATCACTTTATAGCTTACTAGCTTCGCTATAACTTTCTAGCTTTGGTATAACAGGAGTCAGCAAACTTACATATATTGCAATTGTAAACAGGTATTCAGTAAGTAAGACCTAGACTGGAAGGTGAAAACAGGGCTGGCATTTCTCACCAAAAACGTTCCAGACAATATACTGCCTGATGTGAAGGACAAGATGATTCTTTCTCCTCTGTTCAGTCTACAACTGGTGAGTAGTTGGCTGGTTGAATTGGCTTCAGTACTGGCTACAGGGTAGAATCCCACATCATACTTGAGGCCTTGGCCAGGGGGTCACAATAGGCTACATTTTAACAGAAAGGATATACTAGGGAGAAATAGCAGACAATTTTCCCTGCTATCTCCCAGCATCTATCCTTAAGGCAGCTGGGCTATTCTCGCCTCCTCAAACACACACACACATGCGCACGGACACATGTTCACAGTCCATTTCCTGAGTTACCAATTAACTCCATCTTCATTTCAGCTTTCTTTACCAAAACAGGAAATATACACTTAATTGCTCCTTGCTATGAAATAGGATTATATATTTATCTTTCTTCATGCAGTTAAGATTTCAGCAAAGTTGCACAACTAACGAACTTGGCTTTTGAACCATTAATGGTCCTTTGCCTAAAAATATATAAAACAAAGAACATGGGACAAACTGATTACATTTAAGCCATGCTTAATCGTCGTTAAGTGAATGCCCTGGTCATTAGGTGAGGCAACTTCCTGCCAGCTTCCCACAAGCAAGTCAG